AAATGCTACAGGTGCAGCCATGGAAGATGTGTCATTGGCTGCTGTAGGGGAGAGCGGTCAAAACACAAAGAACGAACCTATTTGCGCCTCCGACAGAAGTCAACCAGGTGCACCGATTTATGAAGCAACATTAGGTGTATTTTCAGATCCACATATCACCAGTGCTGTACCAAATACTTTCGTTTCGCGTCCATGCATTCCGTCGAATGTTCATTTTATGCCTACTGTCGCTAACCAACAACACGGTGATTCTGTCAAAGCACAAATTGAAAAATTCCAACGGGAACGTTATTTGCTACTGCTGCAACAACAAGTGGATGAATTACGGCAAATAAGCCGACCGCCAACATGGAACATCCGAATGGGCATTAGTGTAATTGAGTCAATGGAGCAAAAATTTACCGCTGATGATGCTTATAATGTGCACAAGTGGATCGAAGATTTGGAAGACGCCTTCGAGATCTTGCAGTTTGATGAACGAGCTCGATTCGTGGGAATGCGTCAATTACAGAGTGGAACTGCAAAAGTATTCATACGAACGATATCCATGCATACTTATGACGCCTTACGCGAAGAGTTGCTCACGGAGTTTCGTCGCAGGTATTCAACTGATGAAGTGTACAGGCAATTGCGGTCTCGACGCCTGAAGCCAAATGAAACTATCCACCGTTACGTTATCGGGATGCAGGAAATCACTGATCGTGCCAGAGTTCCCGAAAGTGAATTGATCGATATTATCATCGGTGGAATTGGGGTACATCAAAGGCTGCCGCAACATTACGCGCATTAAAAGACTCAATCGTGCGATACGAATGATTGCGATCAAAGCCAAGCATTGTTATGCCAGTTCGTCGTGTTATTCCATTTGTGCCAAACACTGCTGTCGAGCCAAATGCATCATCGGTTACACGTTCCACTGCTGCCCTGCAGTCCGCTGCCTTTCAGCCCGCTGCCGCATCTTGTGTTGACAACTCGGTCCGTTGTTTCAATTGCTCTCGTTGGTGCCATTACCAAAGCACTTGCCCGAGGCCAAAGCGACCTTAAGGTTCCTGCTTCCGTTGTCGACAAATGAACCATGTATAGAAAGACGGCCCGAACCGCCCCGTTGTTGGTGCTGTGAACCGAGGTGTGGGATTCATCGAAGGAGAGAGCGATGTCATCGTCGACGAAGTGAATGCGGTACAACTGGTAAGTGTTGCTTTGGGATACACCGATCTTAAGTGTGCCAAGTTTGAAAGTGTTTTTTCTCTTCTTGATTCCGGTAGTCCTAAATGTTTTGTACGCCACTCAAATGTATAAAAGTTGGAAGTGCAACCATTATTCAATATCCTTCCGCACAACTTCCGGCTTCATTATACTGAAAGAAAAATCAATTAAACTTAGTTTTATTGTTTTACCGGATGATTCCATATTTATGCTTTTAATTATCGGTCGCGATCTCTTCCAGAAAGCCGGTATTAAATTGGTTAGCACAAAACCATGTTATTTAAATAATAAAATTTTCATAATATAACGATGAGTTAATGATCAGTTTCAAAATTATGTTTTTATTGTTGGTTTGTACTAGGGTATTTTGATCAATTTGGCTTATGTGCAAGAAAAAACTTTCTTCACTTTGCTGCCCGACGTTTCGCCAAACTCCTTGGCATCTTATGGGGCGTTTTCTTTATTAAAGGATCAACAAGAAACAAACATAAGGACGTTATTGTTATAATATAATTTGTTAATATGTACACAAAACATTTGTACGCACAAGAAAACAAGTAACAAATTTTATATTGAATCTATGACAATTAGCAATTTTTAACATGATACTGAACTTTAAACACTTTTGAGAAAACATTGAAAAACTTACATTTGAAAAATAAACTATTGTACACTTAACATTTAAAAACTTCAAAATTTAAACAGCGTTCATACCATCACCCTGTGGTACATTTGTCAAACTAATACTAAAATGGCTATAAACATTATAAGTATGCAGCCGCGATGTCGTCAGTGTCTTCTTTTTTGTTTATTGTTACATTTCTTTTTTGCAAAATTCTTAAACTCTCTAGTATGTATCTTGTTTTTTCTCTTTTTTCCGTATCCACTATTCTCGCGTTAGTCAGATCAGCTGTATGACCACTGGCTAGCACATGTTGGGCTAAAGCAGTGCTGTTTTTATTCTTCCTAATGTCGGCTTCATGTTCAGCTAGGCGAACTCCCAGTAGTCGTTTCGTTGTGCCAATGTACACCTTATTGCAGCCTTCGTTTTCGCTCCCTTTGCATGTGATTTCGTATACCACATTGCTTTGTTGGTGGGAGTCTATTGGAGATTTTGTATTTGTAAATATTGAAGACAAGGTGTTGTTAGATTTGTATGCTAATGTAATGTTCTGATTGCTGTTTATTTCGCCTTCAAGTTGTTGGTGGAACTTAGGTACGTATGTGACACTGTGATATCGCTTTGTCTCACTTGTTGTTTTCGACTTGGTTGTTTTGTTGTGCTGGTTGTCCATTTCCCTCATTTTTTGTTTGAGTAAACTTTGTATTAGTTGGTGCGGATAGTTGTTGTTAGTGAGAATTCTGTTTATTCTGTTAATGTTTGTGTCTCTAAATTGTGCGTGGCTTATTGTTAATATTTTATGGATTAGGTTTTTTGCGGTGTTCACTTTATATTTTAAGGGTTGCGAAGACATGAAATTAATTATGCGACCGGAGGATGTGGGTTTCGAATACCAGTCAAGTAGTACTTGTTTTCTTGTGCGTACAAATGTTTTGTGTACATATTAACAAATTATATTATAACAATAACGTCCTTATGTTTGTTTCTTGTTCATCCTTTAATAAAGAAAACGCCCCAGAAGATGCCAAGTAGTTTGGCGAAACGTCGGGCAGCAAAGTGAAGAAAGTTTTTTCTTGTCTAGTACAAACCAACAATAATAAAATTTTCAATTTGAAAAATTGTTGTACGGTTGATTGTAAATTGAGAGAAACACTAGATTTACTTGGTATACTTGGGTCTTCTGATAACTTTGAACGTAGGCCTGATGCCTCAGTAAGTAATGATTGACATAATGAAACATTTGTGGGGAGACCCGATAACAAAAATGATTGACCTCCGTCTCCCTCCTTTGAATAAAGTTACCGTACGTCATAACCACCCCATTCCATTACCTGAAGATTATATTGAGCACTTGGGCAACAAGAAGTTTTTTACTCTTATAGACCTCAAAAGCGGTTTTCACCAAATAAAGATGCATGAAGACTCAATCAGATATACTGCCTTTATTACACCGGACGGACAGTACGAATATAAACGACTACCCTTCGGTCTAAAAAATGGACCAGCGATATTTCAGCGCTTTATCAATAGGATTTTAATTGACTTGGTAACCGAGGGCTTGCTTGTTGTTTATATTGATGATATTTTGATAGCATCACCCGACTTTGCAACTCATTTGAAGACTGTGACTGAGGTTGTTGAGAGACTACGATCTTACGGCCTAGAGTTGAATCATAAGAAATGCACATTCG